GTTCATATACATAGTAATAAATACATACTTATAACCACGAATGAAATCAAATTGCCATCGAAGGAAATGTTCTAAGCATCTAGCTGTATATTCACAAAAGTCTATAGGTAAATTTTGTGAATTTACAGTTGAAAAACAAGTTGCCTAGAAAACCTTGAGTTTAAATGAAAGGAATACATATCTGACTACTTTCACCTAAAAAATCAATCGAAGTTCTGACTCAGAGCTGTTGCTATCAGGGAAGGCAACTCCAGGACACTGAGAAGTAGAAGCATCACATGGGAACTGAGGACACTTCAAATCTCTAAAAAATTTATAGGATTTCTGAAATGTTTATAGCATTGACATTTTATCTATTTAAATATAATTTAGGAAAGGCACAACATTATTTTTTGACAGTACTTTCCATTTATAAAAAGTTAAACAAACCTAATTATTTTTAGTACCCATCTTGTTTAAAGGTGAAAGAACAAATAAGTCATTTGGGATATTGTCAGTTTTAAGTGTAAAAGAAATTTTTGATTTGTTTTTGTAAAAACAGCATATCAAATGTGATCAGGAGATGTGAACACCGGATTAAATAACACTATAAGATAGAAATATTTGGTTATTTATTGCACCCGACTGACCAAAACATTTTAAGTAAATGGAGGGAGTAACATGATTATATAGACTCTTAGAACCTCTAATCGGCGTTGGTGGGGGGTGGTTTGGGGCTACACCCAGTGTTGCACAGGGACTACTCCCAGATCTGTGCTCAAGAGTTACTTTCTGGGAGGTTCAGGGGACCATGTGGTACTGGGGTTAGAACCCAGGCCTTCTGCATACAAAGCATGAACTCATTTTTAACGCTTCTAACTTAAAAAATTCTTTTAAGGAACATAGAAAATAATTGTCTTAAAAATAACTGCAGACATGATTAAGTCAACATAAAGTATAGGGCATTAGTTTGATAAGATCTAATATTTTGCCTTTTAGATTACTCATGAGGAAAGAATGGCAGTTTATATGTATTTGTGTTAAAAGCAGACCAATGATCCAAGAACGTATTACTTAACAAAGAAAGCCAGATTTTAGTTTTGTATCTTAATATTTGATACTGCAGTTCCATTTTGAAAACATTATACTCCTATTAAATTTTAGTCAGGTTTGACCATGACAAGGTTTCTATAAAACTCTTATAATGTTTGAAATATCCCTTTATATTTCATCTTACATAGTTTTGGAACTGCTATTTTACTTTAGGACAAAACGAATTGTTTTTCATTAACAAAAGTATTTTAACATCTTACATGGTTCCCCTTTATTACTGTTCTATTAATCTCATGTATGTATAGGAATTATATTTTAGCCACCAATAAATAGTATTTTATATAGAAAACCAGGCAGAAGAAAAATTTTAAATTATTTGCAGCAACATTTTGTTGCAGATTCATAAAAATGTACAGTTGTACAGAAATTTTCAATGTGAATAAACACAATCAACATCTCCAAATATAGCCTGTCTCTACTGTAAAAATAAAAAAGAAAGAATAGATAAACTTAAATTATACAGAATAATCTTTACATATTTTACTTTACTTAGAAATGATGTAGTATTTAATGACTATTAGCTAATTGAATTTATTATAATCATAATGTTCCAAGTTACCAAAAATATCTTAGATACTATCTGAAGTTGATCAAATATAATTACAGTTGAAATAGCTTGTCATACTAATGACTTGGTTAAAAGTAAATGTATATTTTTCTAATCAAATAGGTAGTAGGTGTCACATTAGCCTAGTCAACTGTTAAGACTGTTTAAGCTTATCAAAATATACCTGGTTATAATAGTGTTTTTATTATATAGAATATTGGTAACTCCTAAGACACAGCTAATTTTTGTTTTGGGGCCACACTGGGTGGTGTTGAAGGCTTACTCCTGTCTCTGCTCAGGAATTACCCCTGAAGGTACTGGGGAAACTATACGGGGTACCTGTCTGTTTGACTTGCAAGGGAAAGCACCTTGTCTGCTATACTGTCTTTCTGGCCACACGGCATAACTATGCTTAGTTTATAACAATATTAAAGTACTTTTTGCCAAAGATTTTCATAAAATATTCAAACTTGAATTATTAAAATATTCGGACTATGGGGACCAGAGCAATAATATAGCAGATAATGCAGTTGCTATGTATGCAGGTGACATGGTTTTGATCCCATTCATCCTATAGGGTCCCCCGAGTCCTACCAAGAGTGATCTGTGAACAAAGAGCCAGGAATAAGCCATGAGCATCCCCGGGTGTGGCCCAAAACAAAAAACTCAGAAAAAACATTTGGGTTAGTTTATATGACAATACATTTTTAAAAATTTGAATTATTAGAAATTATCTCTTGAATTTGAGTTTTCTAATATTAAATTTATATGAATGCTAATTTCTAAGTACATTGAAAGAGAGGATAGGAGATTTTCCAAGTTATTTTTGTAATATCCAGAGGTGAAAAAATAGACATATCACACATATACATGTAAATATGTACACGAGAGTTTTTTGTTTTGTGGTCGCACCTAGTGGTGCTCAGGGCTTACTTCTGGCTCTGGGCTCAGGGATCACCTCCGGTGGGACTCTGGGGACCATATGGGGTGTCGAAGATTGATCCAGCTTTGCATGCTGTGCTCTCTGGTGCCCCAAATAGAGTTCTTAAGACTGTAGTTAAGGCATTTTCAGTATGGGTCAGTTATAAACAGAAAAGTCACTGTTGGTTTCCAGATACTCAGGGATTCCTCTTTACTTAGGAATCACTCCTGGAAGTGCTGGGGTCAGGGGATGGAACCAGGGTCTGCTCTATATGCAAGGCAATCGCCTTAAGTCCTGTACTTTTTTTTTGTCTTTTTAGAATTTAATGATTAAATGCTATTCCTTTATCATCTATGGAATGATACTTTCTACAGTCTGCTGACCCCCCAATTCAATTTCTGGTCTTAGAATATGAAAATGATTTATTATATACTATTTTTGTGTTTTTTTTAATTTTTTTTTTATTAGTGAAACACCATGAGGTACATCTGTAGACTTACAAGTTGTTGTGCTTGGGTTTCAGTTATGCAATGATCGAGTACCCATCCCACCACCGGTGCCCATTCTCCACCCCCACCAATCCCAGTATCCCACCCTGTACTCTTTCTTTGACCTAAAAACTTGCCATATTATTAGAGGGTTCTTGTGATTGATATATATATTATATATATATATATATATATCACTGTTGCACTGTCATCCGGATGATCATCGATTTGCTCAAGCGGGCACCAGTAACGTCTCCATCGTGAGACTTCTTGTTACTATTTTTGGCATATTGAATATGCCTGGGGAGCTTGCCAGGCTCTGCCATGCAGGTGGGATACTCACGGTAGCTTGCTGGGGTCTCTGAGAGGGACAGAGTAATCAAACCCAGGTCGGCAGCATGCAAGGCAAACGCCCTACCTGCTGTGCTATGGCTCCAGTCTCTCTCTCTCTCTCTCTCTCTCTCTCTCTCTCTCTCTCTCTCTCTTCTCTCTCTCTCTCTCTATATATATATAATATATGTGTGTGTTTCTGGTATATGGGACAGGTTAAAATTATCTGCAGAATGAGAAGGGCAAATCGTTCTAGTAATCTTTATAGAAGACACTTTAAACAATGTGTCCCAGTATGTAATCTGTGACAATCAAATAAATTTGGGGGGGTGGGGGATCTGAAGAGAAACGAAACAGGGTTAGAATGTCTCCACAGGTTATATGTAGTATAAATACATAAATGACATGTCGTTATTTCTAGTTATTTCCGTGTCAGATCCCTGAGGTGTCAGAGATCCCCCTAATGGGTCAGGATCTAAATCAGTAGTTTCTAAACCTTTTTCATGCTGGGGGGTGGGGCGCACCCGGCAGTGCTCAGAGCTTAGTCTTGGCTCTCCGCTCAGGGATCGCGGCTTGAGGTTTTGGGGAACTATATGGGGTACCGGGATCAAACCCGGACCTTCCTCGCTGCACTGTCGGCCTTTTGTCGGTCAGAGGCTCCCTTCCAATCCTGTCACCTCGTGGTGTCCCACCCCGCCCCGGGCCTGCCCCTGGGCCCCCTAACGTCCAGCTGCCGCGCTTCCGGCGTCTGCGTTATCCCGGGGCCCCGCGCTGACCAACATCGGCTCAGAGAACCGCGTCTTGGGCCCTGGCACACGGGAGTTCGCGGTGACCGGAGTGACCAGCCCTGCACAGGCGGCCCCGTCAGCGAGCGAGGCCCGAGACCGCGGTTCCTGGTCGGGAAAGGCCGTTGGGCGGCAAACGGCGAGGCGTCACGGTCATGCGCGCGGCCGCCTGCCCGTCTCGGAGAAGAGCCCGACAAAGCTCGCGCTACTTGGCCTCGAAGACTTGCGCGGCGCGCCGAGAGGCGAAAACAACGCCCGTGCGCCTGCGCCTGCGCCTGCGCCTGCGCGCCGCACTACCCCCCTCACCCCGCACCCCCGCCGGGCCGGGGGGGCAGCCAGTGTACGCATGTGCGCGCCGCCATTTCCTGCAGCCTCGCGCTGGGGCCGCGGCGGCCGCCGGGAACTGCGACGGGCGAGAGAGAAAATGGCCGCGCGGGGCGGCCTGACCCGGGGTGGGGCGCCCCCTGCGCCGGCCCCGCTGCTGCCAGTAGATGGCGTGCGAGGATCAGAAATGGGCCCCGCCGTGCGCCCGGCCCGGGCCTGCCCTTCCCCCATCGCCTGGCCGCCTCGCGGCTCCCGCTCCGCTCCCCACCCGTGTCCAGCATCGGGGCAGTCACGGGCGCGCGGGAAGCAGCAGGCCTGGCACTGGGGGCCGGGACCGTGCTGTAAAGACCCGGTGACGCAGCAGGGCTAGTGGGAGCTGCCCTTGCCGAGGGAGGAGAGCCGCACCCCCCTCCCGGAGCAAAGGCCACTGCGGCCAAGGGACACGACCCCCTCCCCCCCCCGAGCCTGCCCCACGGTGTTGATTCAATAAAAACACGAGTGTTTTTCCTCAGTGCGTTGGTGGGTTCGGACACAAAGATGGTAACCAAGGTAGGAGAGACCTGGCAGGAGAGGCCTGGGAGCACCAGAGATGACCGTGGCTGCACCAGCCATCAGCCTGACGACTCCAGCGACATGCAGGCACAGACCCATAGCAGCACTGAAGTATTTGAGCAGCTGGTGGAACTGGACAATAGAGCCAGTGGGTAAGGTCCCTCCTGTGCCGGGCCACAACCTAGGACAAACCCTGACATCTCACACCCGTTCCCCTCAAGGGCTCCAAGAGAGAACACTCTGGCCCGGAGCATCTCAAGGGCATCCTGCAGGTTTCAGCTCACACTCATGACATGAAAGCTCTCTCTGGAGGTGCTGACCGTGTGCATTTGGTGCGGTGCCTTCCATGGGGAAAGGGTCATGCATTTGTGTAGGGTCGAGAGTTTGGCTGCATCAGCAAGTGCTAGTGAACTTAGAACAGCCTGTGAAGGCAAGACTAGGAGCCCGGGAGGTAAGAGGATTCCCTTGAGGTCTCTGCCAAGGAGGTGATACCCCTGAGCATGGAGCGTGTGGATGCACCCTCCTCTTGAGTGGGTATGGCCTCTGCAGTGCGTTGCAGAGAACATCATGTCAAGCAGGGACGATGGGCAGATGTACCCAGCATATGTCAGCGGTGATGCTTTTGATATGGGACTGGGGACCAAGGAGTCAACAGAGTGACAGGGTGTGAGGGTCTGGCCAGACACAGGCTTGCTGAGCTGCAATCTGGCTGAATGGCAGGAGCCCATGTGGGTAGCTGCAGGGTTTAGCCTGAGGCTGAGTGCAGACAAACTGAGGGATATGTCAGTTTGCTGTCTCTGCATGGGGCGGATCCTTCTGAAGTGAGGGGCACAGAACTGTGTCTTGGCAATGGTCAGGCCCCTCCGTTCCTCTCTGCCTTGGCCTTGCATTTTCTAGGGAGTTTTCTAAAGGAAGGGGGCCTGACCCTCGAAGGGGCTGTTCCCTCCAGTGAGGCAGTGATCTGTGTTGTCTGCTGTGACTCTGCCGGGAACCAGCAGTGGGGAGAACTAGGCAGATCCCACAACACTGGGGACTTGTTATTGGCTCAAAGTGTGACCTCGACTCCAGGCCAGTGAAGTAGGTGGCCATCTGCGCCGATCTCAGAAGAGCCTTTTAGAATAAAAGCTCAGTGATTGGCTGGAGCTGTTGCGAGCACAGAGGTGCTTTGAACCCCTGCAGGAGGCAGTCACGATGCTCTCTGTGCTGATGCACTGGCCCTTGGCTTCTTGCAGGACAAAACCACCGTCAAGCTGCATGGTGACCGTGACCATGTCTGCCGCAGCAGAGCAGCCTCACGCTTATACTCCAGGGTCCCCAAGTGAGCTGGAGTCTGGTTCAGCCAGGTAAGCAGAGACAGTGTGCAAGATGGTGCCCCAGTCGCTGTCACAATGTGTGCTCTAGTCCTCCCATAGCCCCACACTGGCAGAGGGGCCATCTAGTACAGTCCAAGTCCCCACACTGTGCCCTCCTGTCTGTGGGTCTGGGCAAAGTGCCACCACCACCCCCATCTCCCCAGGTCAATGAAGAGACATGAGTCGGCACTTTCTGGGCTCTGCCCTCTGTAGCACCTTGCTGATGAATGCCAAAGGAAGTTCATGGGCTCCAGGCCTGACTGACTCTCCTGTTGGCCACATACCCTTCCAACACAGGAGGGGTTGCCCCAGCAGCAGGCACCACAGTGTCGTAGCAATCGGAGGGACCTCCGCACATTGGGAATGGCACCACGTGTCAGCCTGCAGTGAGCCTTCATGAGGTAGAGCTTGGGGTCTGGCCGTGTGTATGAGTCCTCAGCCGCTGGGGCTGGATGGAAGATGTGGCAAGACCCAGAGTGGTCTCACACTGCAGTGTAACTCTGAGGCCAGGAGACTCTCCCAGTCTGCTCAGAGAGTACAGCGGGCTGGTAGATAGAATGCTTTTACTCTGTACCAGTGAATGTGACTAGGTGCCTTCCTCTGGGCATGGGGTCATGAAGTATTGAGGTCCTCATGAAGCACAACGTCATGTCACCACCGTAGGCTCCAGGGAGCCTCTTTGTAGTTCTCCCACCCACAGTGTTCTGAACCCTTGGGGCCAGTGCCACATTAGGCGTGGCCCAGCACCTTCCTTTCTCTGTCATCCTGGAGCCTGCCCAAGCTTCTTTGCTTCCTTCTAACCTGGCAGAGGGTTTAAAGCCTCCTCCTCGTCTTGTCTGGGCCAGCCCAGTTCCCTGGGACATTCCAGTAGAGCCCAGCTTTATTCTGTCCACAGCAAAGGGATTCTGTTTGTGAAGGAATACACGAATGCCAGCGAGGTGTCTTCTAGGAAGCCGGGTGCGTCACTCTACAGCAGGTAGGAGTGATTCCACACTCTGTGTGCTGACCTTCTCCTGTCAGGCCCTGTGTCACCCCATTCCCATGCCCCCACCACCTTAGCCCAGAATTGTCCCAGAGTGCCTTCTGGGTGATCATGGGTTGAATGGATGAATGATACACTTTTGAGGGTGTGATTTTTGCATTTCCAGCTATTGTATCTTCATATTTCCCTGCCTAGTTAGTTCCCCTGATATCCTACTTCTTGTGCCATCCCTTTCTACCTATATTTGCTTCTTGGTGGAGACCAGCTTCTCTTGTAAATCCTAAGGAAATCACTCCTCACAGCTGACAGGACTCTTCCATATCATACAGCTTATTCCATCTTATTCTAGAACACAGGATTCCTCTCTTCTTCTCCCCTGACTTTTATTTTTCCATCTTTCATTGTTTGAATACACATTATACTTCAAAAACTGACAGATGTGTTGCTTTGGAATTATTTCTTCTGTCTGATTGCCTCCTCCCTCCATGCCATCTCAGTTGGAAACTAAGCCATGCTGACACAGTGCCTGTGCAAGTGTTTCCTATCACCCTATTGATATGGGGAGTATTTTTATAACAGGGATAAGCCTCGTTCTTTCAGGTTCAGATCACCAGAATTCTGGATGGCTTATTATGGGGCTGTAGAATGATGAGCTTGGGCCTGGGGCTCAAGTTCAGGCTTGAGCTTCAGCCACATGGGATATATCATATTGGACAAAATGTTCCACCTTTCTTAGCCTTGGTTTCCTAAATTGTCATTCCCTAAGTGCTTTTTCTACAGCTTTATTGAGAGAATTCTCTTCTTAGGCTCCTTAAGGTATGAAGTCCAGTGGTTTTCAATCCATTTAACTTCCATCCAATTCCAGAATGTCTTCATCGCCCAAAGGAAATCCTGCACCCAGTAACCCCCGTTGCCACCAGCCATCACTTCTGGCCACCATTAATCTGTTTTGTGGCCCCGCAGCTTTGCTCAGGAAAGATTTTCAATTAGGTAATGTGCGGAAGCTCCACAACCCTAAGAGAGAAGTTGTTGGTATCTTGCTTTTGCCTCTGTAAGGCATCTCTGGGCTGAACTGTGTCCATCTCCTGCCATCTTCCTATCCCTTCACTCTGGGTTTGAGTCAGTTTTGTTTCTTAGGCCACACCTATTGGTGCTCTCGGTCTACTCCTGGTTCTGTACTTGCCAGGTCACTCCCAGTGGTGCTTGGGGGACCTTGTGGTCCCTGGAAGGGAACCAGCATCAGCCACATGAAAGGCACATGCCTTACCCCCTGTACTGTCTTTCTGACCCCTGACCCCATAAGCTGTTAATCTTACACTTTGACACTTGATTTATTCGAAATATGACTGTAATGTTCAGCAAAGCTCCAGGCTTACTTTAGCACATGTGTGCTTTCCCTTCTTTTTCTTGAAGGGAGCTGAGTTTTTCTCTTAAACCTTCGTTTATGCTCTTTAAAGTATAGTACTCACAAGTGAAGATGCAGAAAGGAACAGAACCTCTCTGTCAAGTTCACCCACCCCCAGTACAGCCATTGTGTTGGGGTCATTCTTTCCTCTGTGTCTGATTTCTGCTGCGAGTGTGCTCCTTGTGAATGGCCAGAGCTTCTGCCAGAAAAACCCATCTCCTTTCTTCTGGCCGGTGAAACTGGGAGTCCTCTTGGTATCCACAGCCTCGAGAGTCTGTTCCCCTGCGAGGCTCGGTGCCGAAAGACTCATGCCCACTTGGCACCGCGTTGAAGTACCCCCGTTGGAGTCATGTCTTGGCAGTGGCCCCGGGGTTTCTCAGAAAGTGTGTGTGCTCATGACTGCTGCCATCTTCTTTCTTTCTGGCCTCTTCTCTGTCCTCACAGCTGCAGTGGCGCTGATAGCGGGGATGCATTCAGCAAAGAGAAGAAAGCTCCATACAGTAGCACTTCATACCCCGAGAGGTGAGTCTGCTGTGTTAGCAGGAAGCTTGCAGATCTCCATGGGAGAGACAGCAGGGTCAGGCAGCCGTGCTGTCTGCTGCTTTGCTGCTTCTGACTCACTTGTAGGATGCTGCACAAGGTATGACCCTTTCCAGGATGCCTTAGTCAGTGCAGCCTTGGAACCTAGCTGAGGCCAGAGGTGGAACTGAGGGAAACGGCAGGGTCTGGAAGCCTGAGGGCCGTGTCTGCTGGGGAGACCCCTTGGGCTCTCAGGATACTCAATCATTTGCTAGACAGACTTACAGATTACCCAGAAAGGATAAAGGAAACTACAAAACATGGTGGCTAGTGGGAAGTCAAGAACAGAGGGCTGCCAGCTCCAAGAACCCAGAAAAGTGGCAGGAAGAGCCGTTTGTTTAAACTGAATGCTGCCCAGAGGGGCTCAGTTATCCGTTTCCAGAGCTCTTAGGAACTGCTGAGAGTTTTCAGAATGGTGTTTGTGATGAAGCACTGGTGGGTAAAGGACTCTCAGATGGGTCTACTAAGGTCACAGTGAAGGGAACTGGCTGCAAGGAATGGGCACCCCTGAAGTCACGCTGTGAGTCAAGTGGACCTAGAACAGAGCAGAGACTTTCCTGTAGTCGGCTGTGTTTGCTTCTGAGGCCAACAGTGATGAGTCCAAGGGCATTCACCACACTCTAGCCAATACTACAGTCACACCGACGCCGATGGACCTTACTGTGGCTGAAAGACGCCCCTCATCAATAGCCATTAGATAGTTCTTAAAAACAGGGGCAGTTACTCACGTCATGGGGATATGTGGCGTTCCTATGGTGGGAATTTAAGTCACCCCAGACTTTCATAAAGGTGACTTTCATGGGGCGGGGGGGGGGGGAATTCTGGTTCCTTGCCTAGGGGCTGTATTGCATATAATTGTCTCACATAGCTAGTGATATGTTTACTGAAGAGGGAGGCAGGCCCTCCAGCAGGTTCTGAGGAGGAAAAGCAGGGGTGAGTCTTGGAAACAAAGGTGGGGAATCTGAATATAGGCAAGATCAACAATCCAGAAGTCACTAACTAGAACTTTGGCATGAGATCCTGACAGACTTAGCAGCCAGACTCCTTTGCTATCACCCCTAGAGTTCTTAAGAGACAAGTGGTAAGCTGGGGCCAAGAATGTGGGTCTGGGAGACAGGGTTCAGTGATTACAGGCATGAAGAGAAGGGCCATCAAGAATGGACATGGGGGGGCCGAGTGATAATACAGTGATTATGGTGCTTGCCTTGCATGCCACTGGCCCCAGTTCAATTCCTGCCACCCCATATTGTCTCCCAAATACCACTGGTAGTAATCCCTGAGCATAGAGCCAGGATTAAGCTTTGAGCATAGCCAGGTATGGCCTGAAAACAAAGAAGGAATAATGCATTTAGGGAGGGCATATCCCTGTAGGAGACATTGCTCTTTCTGTTTGAGGGGGGGAGAAATTTCCCCAGATATACCGAGCTGAGGACAGGGAAGGCAAGCTGCCCTCAATAAGGTGAGTCCAGTGAAGACACACAGTTACCATTTGGACATCATGAAAGTCTCCAGTAGAGATCCAAACCCATTCTTATCTGGGACCATATGGCTCATTACACACTACAGAAGGTGGCAACTTGGAAATCCCATGAGCAAACTTAAGGGTCTGATTGGGTGCCCTCATGTCTGCATGCCAGTCTGACTAGTGGGTCCTTGTTTTCACAGAACAACTGGAGGAATATGCACTTACTGCAGTCGGGAGATCCGAGACTGCCCAAAGATCACCCTAGACCATCTTGGCATCTGTTGCCATGACTATTGCTTTAAGGTAAGGAACAAGTAGTGGTGTCATTCAGAACATCATTCCGAGCTGGGGTGTGTTAAGGGTATGGCTTGATCATGGAGAAAATGTGTTCTTTGTGGGACTACACTCCATCGCAGAACTTTTGCAGAATTCTGAATGAGTCCCCAAGTCCAAAGGAATAAACGAGTCTTGGTGTTTCCAGGTTCTTAGTACTATGGAGGAGACAAAAGCAGTCTTCTGGGGAAAGATTGTGTAAGTGCAAAGGCTCTGGGTTAGGAGCACAAAATTTAGTTCATGTGGCTGGGATGACACAAGTGAAGGCTGAGTGGCAGGGAAAAAGGCCACGGAGACAGTTGCGGGTTTTACATCCAGGGCTTAACTCCCATGACTTGGAGGACACAGAAGAGACTTTGAATGTTATTGAAAATGTCATGAGCACCCACTAGAAGGTTTGAAATCCAGGCGGGGTATTCTCAGGGTACATGTGTTCCCTTAGCCATGGGAGCAAATGGAGCTCAGGCAGGGTGTGAGCAGATCGAGAAGGGTGTTGAACTTCTGCAGAGTGGTGGGTATTGGAGACCTCGGTAGTAGCAGTCTTAGTGGCATGGTGGACTCTGGATCGTGACTGAGTGGGAGCTTGAGAGAGCAGGGCATGAGGAAGGCATGAGGTGGGTTGGAGCCTGGGCCTGTGATGATGTGACGATGTTGTAGAGGACACACTCCACCAGTGGCAACTGTGCTGTTCTCTTGGAGACAGGACAGTAGCGTGCTGCAGCACCCAGAGGGAAGGGTTAGAATGTGGGTCTTAGGAGGAATGAACTTCCTCAGCAGTTGATTCTCATTTCTCAATTAAAAATGGGTGACTGCTCGTCACCTGCAAGTTAGAGTTGGGTATTTACAGAGAAAGGGGAGGGTGTGAAATGCCTCAGAGAGGGGTGGCGGTGAATGGGCAGCAGGCAGATGTGGACAGGGTGGTGACAACTTGAGGCATTCTTGGGGACAGGAGTGAGGCAGGGGAGCTGCTTTTGTCAGGCGTGAATTTTTCTAGGGGAATTGGCAAAGTGAAGATTGTACGGGAGAACATAGCAGTGAGGCTCATTGCATTGTACCTGGGGTCTGTCAGAGTGAGCTGTGTGCACTCAAGGAGTGGGCCACCTAACATATATTTGTTTGGGATCACACCCGCTTGTGCTCAGAGCTTACTCTTGGCTCACTGCTCACGGATCACTCTGGGTGATGCTCAGGGAACCATATGGGGTGCTGGGGATCAAACCAGTGTCAGCCCCATGCTAGGCAAGCATCTTACCCACTGCACCATCTCTCTGACCCGTAGCATGTATTTTTGGAACCCAGTGCACTTATGGCTGATGAAAAGGTCTCAGGCACTAAAACACACATCAGCTTCCCTGAAAGTCTTGTTAAAGCACACAGCAAGGTGTCTGGACTTCTAACAAAGTGCCAGGAAATGCTGAGGGTGGTGATCTGAGGACCCCACTTGGAGACTGACTGGAGCAGTAACTGAGTTAGAAGAAGCACATCTGTCTGTGGGGGGGTTCAACTTCACTCAGGTCTCACCATCTGGCCATCTCACTACTGACTGTGAGAGGCACTGGAGCTACAGTAGAGAGACAGCCACAGACCCATGGCCTCGAGCTGCACTTCAGGGACTTACAATGAGAAGGCTCAGGGAAATTATGGGAGGGATGACTGTGTTTCCCACATTCTACATAGGTTTCTATTCTTCAACTTAAAGATTGAGACTGATGATTTGACAAACAACATTTTGTTTTCCTGAGCATCGGCTTACATGAGAAGTCCTAGACAATTCTATATACCTTGGTCATGCTACTAATTACAGAGTATTTTGATTAAACACATGAGCAAAATTCCAGGAGTCCCGAGATCTAAGCACCTTGACATATTTGGTCTCTTTTGGCTAAGTTGGATGTTTAAGGGCCAGGGAGCTGTCATTGTGGATGAGGCCTTGGGTAGGCATTATGGCAGAGATGGGTGTAGAGTTGGAAGTGAAGGGACTCATAAGGATATTTTATGTTATGGTTTTGGGGCCATACCTGATAATGGACAGATGGTCAGTGGTTACTCCTAGATCTTCACTCAGGAATTAATCCTTACAGTACTTGGGGTACCACATGGGATGCGAGGGGTAGAACCTGTGTTGCCCGTATGCAAGGCAAGTGCTTTGCCCGCTGTACTGACTCATCAGGGTGTATTGTGTTTTCTACACAGCCAAGCAGAGGGCAGAGGAGAGGAAAAATAGGAGGTGTGGAGGGACCGAGCTTTGGCACTTGCCTGCTGGGGCTACTGGGAGAGCGAGGAAGGTAGTGAGATGGCCAGATGGTGAGACCTGACCATCCTGGCGGCTCCTGAAAGGGAGGAAGATCATGGAAGTTGGGAGACTTTCTTGTCTAGAGTCACAGATCTAGTCAGAGCTAAGGGCTGCAACCCTAGGTTCTGCCACTGAAGTGCCCTCATCGTGCTTCTGGTGTGCCCAGTTTTATAGATGAGGCCACAGGGGGTTGCCTAAGCCACCCCAGCTTATAAGCAATAGAGTTCGGGCTCAAACCCAGGCCCAGTTATGAAGGCAGGACTCCTTACCACTGGGGTTAAGCTGCCCCTCCTGCCTGTTAGGGTTTGTTTTGATTTGGGGGTTGTCTGTTTTATGCCATTTTTTATTGTCTGCTTCAAGGTCCAGCATGTGTCGCCAGCTCCATGTCTTCCTGCCCGCCTTGGCCAGGCACGGCCTCCCCGTCACTTGTTTCCAGTGTGTCTCCTGCATGCTCACCTCTAACTTGCTTTCTCTTTCAGTGTGGGATTTGCAATAAACCTATGGGTGAGCTTCTGGATCAGATCTTCGTTCACCGGGATACCATCCACTGTGAGAAATGCTATGAGAAGCTCTTCTAGGTGGGTGTTAGCACCTTTGGGCTGAGTTGCCAGAAAACTCAGTAGGAGAAAGAATCACCCCTGCTATTTCCTCTTGCATCTGGACCCAGGACCGTGCTTTTTCTTTTCTCTCTTTTTTACAGTTATTTTTAAATCGAATCAAAGGTGTTTTTCAGCCATACAGTGTTCCAACAACCAACCCTTCACCAGTGTACATTTACTAGCCCCATGTGTCTCCCCAGCCTGCCTCTATAACAGACATGTTTCTTCTTTCTCTCTCTCTTTCTCTCTCTCCCTCTCTCCTTTCAGGCATTGTGATTTGTAGTACAGTTACTTAAAGGTTATCATGCATATCCCTTTCCCTTCTTTCAGCACCCAGTCTTTGTACAGAGTGACCATTTCCAACTATCATTGTCATAGTGGTCCCCTCTCTGTCCTAACTGCACTACCCCACAACTTGTGGCAAGCTTCCTACCACAGACTGGTCCTCCTGGCCCTCATTTCTACTGTTTTTGTGTATTATTCTCACACTATGTTTTTCTTCTTATATTCCACAAATGAGTGCAATCACTCTATGTCCATCCCTCTCCCTCTAACTCATTTCACTCAACATGACACTCTCCATATATGTATAAGCACATTTCATGATGTCATTTTTCTTTTTGGCTGCGTAGTGTTCCATTGTGTAGATGAGCCATAGTTTTTTTTAATCCACTCATCTGTTTTGGGGCACTTGGGTCGTTTCCAGATTCTGGCAATTGTGAGCAGTGCTGCAATCAGCATGGAAGTACAGATAGCCTTTCTGCATTGTACTTTTGGGTCCATAGGGCATATTCTTAGGAGCAGTGTTGCTGGGTCATATGGAAACTCAATTTCTAGGTTTTTTTGAGGAATGTTCATATTCTCCAAAAAGGCTGGACCAGTCAGCATTCCCATCCACAGTGAATGAAAGTCCCTTTCTCCTTGCATCCACGCCAACACTGGTTGTTCATGTTCTTTTTGATTTGTACAAGTGTCTGTGGTATGAGATGATATCTCTTGTTGTTTAAATTTGTATATGCCTCATGATATACCTTTTGACCCTTTGTATTTCTTCTTTGAGGAAGTTTCATTTCTTCTCCCCATTTTTTGATGGAGTTGGATGTTTTTACTTGTAGTGTCCTACCAGTGCCTTACATATCATTGATATTAACCCCTTATCAGGGTATTGGGTAAAAAATTTTTCCCATTTCATGGGTGTCTTTGTATCCTGGTCATTTTCTTTGAGGGCAAACTGTCTTTTCTTAGCCTCTATGGTGTGTGTGTGCGTCTGTCTGTCTGTCTGTATCTGTGTCTGTCTGTCTGTCTGTGTGTCTGTGTGTAGGAGGGTGAGTCCTTGTGTTCTGACTTCCTGAGATAATTTGAAATTTGGGGTGGTACAAATAAATGCCCTCTCCAAGCGTCAGAGTTTGTAGTCTCCCTCCCATAGAGCATCTCAGTCGAGTCCTCAAGATGTCGCAGATGCCTATCAGGCCCCGGCTCTTTGCTCCAGTTCCTCAGACGATGTCCACCATTACCCAGTAGCATCAGCTCAAAATTCCACAGTCTAGAATTTAGAAAATCTACACAACCACCCAAAGGCAGAGATCAGGGTAAGGGGGCAGAGCCTAAGAGGGCACTATCCTTCTGGGGCTGGACCAGCTTAGTCTATACTTAGGGAAGAAGACAGGTTTGCTTGCTAAGTCAGAGGAATTAGCCCCCATGTCTGAGCATTGTGTGGGACCCAGTGCCCCTAGGACACTGACTTCCAGGTACCTCTTCAGCTAGAGAAAGATCAGGGTATCCTGGATAAAGGCAGGGAGTTTAGCCAGCAGCCAGTCTCTCCACAGACTCTAGTATGTCCTCTTTTTAGAAGGAACATTGTCTCCATTCTTAGTCCAGACATCCACCTGGGGCCCCAAGCTGTCTACTACATTGCATGTATATTTCTGCCCTCATGTATCTTTGATTTTTTTTGACTTTCCAGACTGAGAAGATGCTGAAGACTCCTGGACAAGCTTGGCTGTCCTGATCCCCATTTCTGATTCCCCATCTCCCCTCTCATTCAATTTTTTCATGCTTTTGTCCTGACCTTGAACTTGCTTACACCCAGTAGCTATGAAAATTTACTTGTGTGTAGTTTTTCAAAGCTTAGAAACTACTTCTTATCCATGATCTAATTGCAGGCTTGAGCAAAGCAGATTGAGCAGGAATCCCAGCGTGGCTTCCCTAGGACAGATTGACTTTCTGATGCATTGAGGTGGCCTGATATGTAAGGCTAGGCCAGAATGTGGGGCTCCTTCTGTCCTGATTTGGGGGTAGAGAGAATTCCCCCTTCTGACCCGCAGCTCTGAGTGTCTTTGGTATTGGAGAGGGGCAGGATAAGCCCCTGGAGCTTCTCGGGGTCCAGCATGGAGACTGTGGATGATCCCTGGTCGGGAAATTGCAGGCACTGAATGCTAGGGATTGCCATAGGCTATGTTTAGCTTATCTATTTGTCTCATATATTTTCAAACCTTTCATAGGCTTTTCAAGGTCATTAGTTAATTTTGAATTAATTAAGTTGCAGATTTTCATGAACAGACATCAGATTTACAGCATATTTTCATGAGTAAATTTATTATTTACAGCATGTTTTCATGAGCATATTTCTGATTTACAGCAGATTTTTGTTACCTCTTTCCCACCTTTCACTCTAGTTGATTTTTTCCCTGCAACATGTAGGCCTGTATTCGGAAGGTTAGGTTTAAATTCTAGAGGATGTGATTCTTTGAGATGTCTGTTTCTAAATTTTGAGAGTTGATCATGTGACAACATATGCCCTCAAATCCTGATCACTTTACTTGATGCAGAAATCCTCTCAAGTAAATCTAGGATGTATCAACTCCAGCAGGATTAAGAAGGGAGAAAAGCAGCTAACCTTTCTTGAGGCTTTATGGCATATCAGGCATTAACATTGCAGAGTGATGGCATTAATCCACCTACTAATCCTGTGCAGAGGGTACTTTTGTTTCCACTTCACAGATAAGGATATTGGGTTCAGAGAGGAGGTCTGTGCATTGTACAGAACCGGTGCTCTTTCTCCCGAGCTCTCTTGTAACATCATCAGAATAGCAAGCGCCTGTTCTATGCTGAGTGCCAGGCACTACCAGGTGGTATCTCTTTACTAAGCATCCCTAAGGGATGCTGTTACAAAGAGATGCTAGTGTTAAGTCCTGCCCCAGCCCCTGGGCATCCTGGACCCTCGTGGCATGAAGTACCACAAAGACCAAGCACTGCCTAAACCCTCTCTCCTCTCCTTCCAATGATGCTGAGCTGAGAGGTTCTCATCTGTGAACAGGTTTGACTCAGAGACCTTCCCAAGAAGGAGCCCAGGGAGAGCTCCAGTAGGTTAACTCATCTGAGCATGAGGTTTTCTGAAATAGGTTGCAAGTTCCAGCAGCTTGGTTACTTGCAAGACAGGACCTGTTGGCCAGTGGGCCAGCTGCATGCCCACCCTTGCAGTCCACTGACTCCGCTTAAGCTCCCTGGAACTCCTCTCCCCTGACTCACCATATCTTCCCTGATGGGGAGGGACCACTTGAGGGTTCTTATGATGAAAAATGAGGACAAAAAGTATCTGTCTTCTATCCAGTTTCTGCTCTTCCTGTCAGAGATCAGACAAGATCTTTATTTGCATGTCATATGCCACATGCCAGTCCTAAATAAGAGTCTAGCTCAAGTTTGAGACTTGATACATGGTGAGTACTCAAGTGCTGAATGAATGTGTGAAAGGGAAAGAAAGGTCTCTCCTCTGTGTGGGAGATGCTTCTTGAGCCACTGTGCAGACCCAGCTGTGAGGAAGCGCAGAGTAAAGACGTTCAGGATATGCAGGCGTCCCTGTATTTGAGATAGGCTCTGCTGTTAAGGGAGTTCTAGAACCAGTACATAATGTAGTGAAAGACTGCAAAGTCAATATTGATTGTAATCCAAAATAGCCTCTTTCATGTCTAAGAAAGGCACGGAATTATCCAGACTAAAGGAAGAGGGTGGTTATATTACACTTTTGCTTCTTTTTAATTGTCTAGTATTTTAATCATACTTGTTTAATCCACATTAATGTACACAATTAAAATAAATATTAAATATTGCATCTTACAGTGTTCAAGTGTACCTTATTATTTTAATTTTCAAATTTTTGACCAGACCTGGCAGTGCTTAGGTCAAGGATCACTCCTGGTAGGACTCAGGGGACCACATACTGTGCCAGCAATTTAACCAATCCCTGTTAGCCAGTGGGTAGGGCGTTCGCCTTACAAGTGGCCAACATGGCCGACCTGAGTTCGATTCCTCCACCCCTCTCGGAGAGCCCGGCAAGCTACCGAGAGTATTCGATATGCCAGACACAGTAACAACAAAGTCTCCAATGGAGACGTTACTGGGCCCGCTCGAGCAAATCGACGATCAACTAGGGCTGGAGCGATAGCACAGCGGTAGGGCATTTGCCTTGTACGCAGCCAACATGGCCGAGTTCGATTCCTCCGCCCCTCTCGAGAGCCCGGCAAGCTACCGAGAGTATTCGATATGCCAGACACAGTAACAACAAAGTCTCCAATGGAGACGTTACTGGGCCCGCTTGAGCAAATCGACGATCAACGGGAGGGCCTGTTAGCCAAGGGCAAGGCAAGCGCCTTAGAATCTGTTCTATCTCTCTGGGCCCATGTTTACTTATTAAGCATAATTTTACCTCGTGTGTTCAACTGTATGATTTTCTCTCAAAAAAGTTTTTGGGCCACACCTGACATTTCTCAGAGGTTTCTCCTGGTTCTGCATCCAGCACTTACTCCTGGTGGTGCTTGGGGAGGGGGACAGCACATAGGGTACCAGGAATCAAACTTGGGTCAGCCGCGTGCAAGTGTCCTACCCATTGTACTATTGCTCTGGCCTCCGTCACCCTCTTTTTAAAAAATTTTTATTAGTGAGACATCATGAGGTACAGTTGTAGACTTACAAGTTTTTGTGCTTGGGTTTCAATTATACAATGATCAAATACCCATCCCTCCACCAGTGCCCATTCTCCACCACCACTGATCCCAGTATCCCTCCCTCCTCTGTGGCAGGGCATTCCCTTTTGTTCTCTCTCTCCTTTTGGGTGCTATGATCTGCAAAAGAGGCAATGGGTGTCACCCTCTTTTGGATGAAAGAAAGTCTCACAATAAATTTATCCTTCAAGAAAAACAACTCTGATCTCATCAGATATTATCTGATTACGTGCACAGATGCAACAGAATGATGATCATCTAGGCTTTTATTTATTTACTGGGGGACCACACTGACTGTTCCAAGGAATCACTACGGGAGGTGTTGGAGCATTATATGCAATTCCATGGATCAAATCAAGGTCTGCTATTGCAAGGCAAGTGCCTTCTCCCCTGTACTATCTCTCCAGCCCAAACCGGCCTTCAAAAATTGGTTTGGTGAAAGGTTTTTTCAGCAATTTCAGACCTGAACTTCATTTATTTGAAGGGGACACACCAGCTGGTACTCAGGGATTACTCCCAGCTCTTTGTTTGGGGGACCATGTGGTTTCCAGGATCAAACCTGGCCCTCCTGAATGTAAATCATGCGCTCCTATCCTTTGAGCTTGCTCTTGAACCCACACATTTGGACTTTTAAAAACCTTTCAGGGATAGCAAGCTAAGCCAAAAAAATCACAACCAGAATTTCCCTGCAATTCCTACATATTCGGGTAACTCTTCTAAATGTTCCCAAATATCCTAAGATTCCTTCATCTGTAAGGAAGTAAATTTCCTGATCACTTGAAAGGCTGGGATCCTTGTGGACCAGGTATCTCACTGGTTTTGCCTAAAGGATATATATTTTGAAAGAATTGAGTTCCTAAGCTCGGCCTTAGTTATGGAAACTTGTCAGGGATATATGTACCAGAACCTATTTCTGAACGCTGGGACTATGTAGGTATTGCCCTTGAAGTTCCCCAAGCACTGCAAGGTGACCCTGGTGTCCCCCAGTACTGAAGAGTTCAAGCAGCTCCACATTCTGGGTACTGAGTGTGGAATAATACAGGCTGCTTGGCTGAGTATCAGTGGCAGTGGCCCCTGTCACCCCGAGCACTGCTTGGGAGATCACCCTCCCCCTAAATTGTCAGGGATAATTGATTCTAGTGAAAGCCTTGGCTATATCACCATTTCCCCCAATTAGATCTTGTTATAAGGAGAATATAATTGGAAATTATATCCTGCAAATAAATGTATTTTCTCACAGAATGTTAAAAAAATACCAAAGTTCTGGAGGTAGTGGGCAGGGAAAAAAAGATAAGTGCATCATTTATGCCTATGAATATATGAACGACTAATTGTTGTATCACTTAAGAGACATGAGCTGGGGTATGGTGCCACCGGCAGGTCAATCTGTACCTGTGAGGCGAGTGCATCAGCAGCCTGATGGTGCCATCAGACTTCTAGATACCCCAAAATTGTTGCTGTGCCTTGGGGCCAAGTTTACCAAGAAAGTAAACAGCCAAGAGTTAGGTATGTGGGAGACACACCCACAAACCACCTCCGGCTCAGCTATATAATTGGAGGCAAGGCCTCTCTGGTTCCTGATCAAACTGTTAATGGTTATCATCCTAGAGACTCAGAAACAAATCTCGGAACCCAGTGGCTTTTGGCAGAAATGTCTCCAGTTCCCGCAGTAGGCTACCGCCGCTGGGCCACTCCAGGTGGGAATAGATTTCTTGCCTTGGCCTGTTCCCCCTGGCGACTTGGTGACCGCTATCCTCCAGAGGCCATTGGACAGTCAGGTTTGGGCCCGCAGTGATGAGACACACGAAGCCTCACGAGATGGGGGTAGAGCCGTCCCTTTCCTCCCCACCCCAACGAGACACCGAGTCACTGTCCATGAATGGCCTCTCTGGCTCCTGATCAAGCTGCTTAATGGCCATGATCCAAGAGACTCAGAAACAAATCTCGGAACCCAGCAGCTTTTGGCAGAAATGTGTCAGGTCCCCGCAGTAGGTTTTGGCAGAAATTCCTCCAGATTTAATTATTAAAATTTCAGAATTCCAAAATCGCGCAGCAACTACTGTGGCGGCATGACATCATAAAAAATGTTATTCATAACCAGCAATAGAAAACAAATTGTCTACAGTTGCTTTTTCAGCAGATCTGAATGTTGGTGTAAAATCCCAAATAAGAATGGTGGGTCTGGTATCGAAATATTGAATGTAATCAAAGTAGAGAGAAAGT